CGGGTCTGGACGCCCCAGACATCGCTGAAGGACAACATCTCTGATGGAGCAGATTGAGATCCGAGTCCGGGGTCCCCAGGGCCCCGTGTGGTGGCAGAAGGTGAGGATGACCGCTGAGGTCCTGAGTTTCAGGTGGGAAGGGGGCAGTTGTGGCCCCGGTGGCTGGGACTTGAGCCGTCGCAAGGACAGAGGGGCCAGGTGGTGCTGGGCACGGGCCTGACCCCTAGGAAGACCCTCGCTGCCCTTCAGGAGCTCAAGCCTGGAGACGCTGCCCTCCCGCTGAGGAGGGGGACGTGGGCTCACGGGTGCAAGCGGGCATTGTCCACGTGGTGACTGTCTTCTGCAGGGACAGAGAGATGGTGGCAGGGATGGCCCAGGGGAGATGCAGGTTGGCCCTGTTAGCGCCTGGCCATGGCATCTTCCAGAAGGAGGCAATTGTGTGTGTGTGTGTGTGTGTGTGCACGGATGTGTGTTTGTGCGTGTACCAGAGAGGCTTCCGGGGACAAGGGATCCCCTGTGCCTCGGAGGAGGAAGAGGAGGAGACAGAGTCTGGGGGAGGGGTGGGGGGCACTGCAGGAAGAGGACAAAGGCATGGAGGCCACCGCATCTCAACACTCCCTCCGGCGGGACCGAGGAAGCAGGGACAGGGATGTCCCGTTGATAAAGACCCAGCAAAGGGGAAGACCTTGGCTTCTGAGGATGGCAGAAGTATCTGACATCGATCACACATGTCAGTAGTTGAACAATCAGCACGGCTTTGATGACAAGAGTCGCTGGTGAACGTGCAGGGTTTACCTGGCCCTGCGCTGAGCTTTGGGCACATCCTCCTTCGCTCCCTCAGGATCACCTGCCGTTGGCGTCACCCTCCTTTCTCTGCCTTTGGGCAGTGTCCGGAGGCGGCAAAGCCCTGTGTCCTAAGACTGCCCCGGCAACTGCGTCCCTGCACTGTCCTCTGGTGCAGCCCCAGGACGGCCCTGAGGAGGGCCAGTGGCTTGGGGCCCCTGTCCCTGCCTTTGGGAGTGGTACATCCTCAAAGGCTTAAAAGTTGAGCCAGGAGAAAAAGCTTAAAGGGGGTGTCCGGTGCCTTCTGTGAGGGCTGAGGGAGGAATGTTGGCCCTGGGGGGGACCCCAGCAGCAAGCGGGAGGCTCCCCGTTGCCCTCCCGGCAGCCTCGTGCCTGCCCCCACGTGGGGTTGGGGGTGGGAGAGAACAGGGGCAGAAGAGGCCGCTGCCTTTCCCACGGACTCCCCCCTTGCTCCATGCATCCGTGCGCCGCCCTTCCGCATCTCCATCGCCCATAGAGTGTGGGCAGCCCTCACCTGGATCCCTGGTAGGCATCCCAGGGGCAGCTTTGGAGGAAGATGGAGGCCACCCATTGCTCTTCTGGCTGCATCCCCCTCAGTTTATCTAAAGCTTCCCTGTGGTCCTCAGACGGAGCCACGTTTGCGAAGCCCTGGGCCAGACACCAGGTAGCGTTTTTTAAACCAGGACCCCGGACAGCGCGCGCTGAATGTGGCAGGCGTGTGTCCTCAGAGTGAGGGTCCAAGGTCCCTGGCTTGACAGTCTAATCTAGATGAGGGGACGGCACGCTGGGAGGCCACGGAGGCCCCTGAGCCCCTCCAGCATGCGGGTGGTGGGAGTGGGCAGGGCCCCCGCAGTCCCCTGGCACCATCAGGCTCAGTGTGTGATGGGAGGGGAAATCATTTAGCCAAATTTAGCACTTGCCTGGATTCTGAGTGTTCTGACAGTGGAACAGAGCGGGACGCGGGGGTGGGGGGGAGGGTTGGGGGATCGTCTGAATTCATTTAGAACTGCCAGAACGTGATTCAAAGCAAAAATGGCTTCAATGGATCTATAAAAAGAATACCCAAATCCTCTTAGACAGACAAAAAAGCATTTTGATGATTTCAGTATAAATGAATCTGGAACATAAGGATTAAATTTCTCTGAAAATACTCGAGAATCTAAAATGGTTCAAGGGAGGAAAATGATGGTGAAGAACATGACTGCTTTTGGAGAATTTTTCAGGGAAAATGTGGCTCGTTACGGTGCCCAGAAGCAGGTCCTTTTGCTTCCCAGTGTCCGGGGGAACAAGACGGTGGTTTGGAAGAAGGTCGTCTTTCTCTCGCGGATCAGGGCCACCCTAGTGACCTCATTATACCTTGATCACCTCCTTCCAGACCTAAATACTGCTACATTTTGAGGGCCGTGGGGAGTCAGGACCTCAAAATATGAATTTTGGGGGGACACGGTGCGGCCCGTGAATGTTGCCATCAGGGTATTTGCTGGGGTCAGCCCAGATGACCACCAGTGTTTCTTCTAGTTTGACAACCCCAAGAGCATGTCACAATCTTATGACAATCAGTGGTTTAATTAAACATGTATCTCAGAGAGGAAAGGACATGCTGGTGTTATTGCGTGAGGAAGGGGGTGGGGGGACATGGGCAGGGACTCTGTGCTGACCTGCCAGAGCAGGAAGTGACATCAGGACAGGACGGTAGGCACAGTGTGTCTCCCCACTCATCATTTCGTGAGATGTTTACTTTCACGTAGTACATTTTATGGGGGGTTTTGTTTATCCTTTTCATATTTTTGGTCATACTGAAAAGGCCTTCCCCTCATGTGGCTATAAAAGAGCTCTTCCCCATTTTCCTCCAGTCTTTCATGATTTGTTTCTTTTCTTTTCTCATCTGGCCCTTCGGTTCACCAGGGGTTTATGGCGGTGGTGGTGAGCTCTCCTAACACCGTCTGTTGGCCATGCTCTCCCCATTGACCTGAGGACCCGTCCGTGCTCCATGTCCACCTGGGCCTCCTGGACTGTGTCTCTGGTCAGCCTGTGTATCTGCTCATGGCCCCACACTGTTTTAGAGACTGATGCTTTGTGATGTTTTACTACCTGCCAGGATAATGGCTCTCTTTGTCCCTCTTCTTTTTCATGGTTCTCCTGTCTGTCTTACCCATTTTTCTTCATGAAGCTTAGCATTGCCTTCTCTGGTCAGAGAAAAAGAGCTGCTCATGTTTGCATTGGAGTCAAGGGAACTTCATAAATCAATTTAGGGAGAGTGACTTCTAGAACCTGGCCTGCCTTTCCAATTCCAATTGTTTTCTGTCCTTCAATAGTTTTTTTAAATGAGTTTTCCATATAGATCTAAAAAATTCTTGTTATACTTATTCCTGCTATTTTATCTTTTTAAAAAAATTAGCTGAAAATCAAGTGTTCTCTTCCAGTGTAGCTCTCCCTCTCTCTCTCTCTCTCTCTCTCTCTCTCTCTCTCTGTGTGTGTGTGTGTGTGTGTGTATGGAAGCTATTTTTTTTAAATATAGTTGCTCCCTTGCTCATTTATTTTATTGCTTAGAACAGCTTCTCAATGGATTTTCTAGGAATAAAAGCATATCATCTGCAAAGAGTAAGACTTTGTCTTGTTTTTGATCCTCATACTTCTCATATCCTTTAAAATTGTATTTGCTAGTAATTCTGGAACAATGCAGGGGATGCAGGGGATAGCCTTAGAGTTTCCCTGTTGAGCATGAGGCTGGCTGGGATGGATATATTTTGTCATATTAGAGACACTTCCATCTATTCTTACTTTGTTGAGGGGTTTATCAGGATATTGTCACATGTTTTTCCAACTATGGAAACAGTCATTTGATTTCTCCCACTAGGTCAATTAATATGATCAATTATATCAATGTATTTCCTACTATTGTACCAGTCTTGGTCTTTAATGTGCTTCTAAATTCTGTTTATATTTTATTTTGGATTTTCTCCACGATATTTATAAAAGATATTTATCTAACCCTTCAACAAGTTTTGGCATCAGTATTAACACTGGCTTTATGAAAACAATGGGAAAGTTTTCTTTCTCGTTCTTTGCTCCACAGAGTTTTAAATGGCATTGGGATGAAAGGTTTAGGAGGAGGGTTCCCTGTGAGAGCATATGGGTTTGGTGTTTTTCTTTGAGTGGAGGAGTTTATATAATTTGCTTTTAAAAATAATGCCCTAGTGAAAATCCTTTTATATCTGTCCTTATACACTTAACGAAAGTTCTTAGGTTTTAATTCCTTGATGCATAATTGCTATCAAAGAGGATCCAGCTTCAAGTTTGATTAATAGGACCACACAGACCCCACCTCTCCTGTGAAGGCTGGAAGGGTTGATGTTTCCACCAACAACCAGTGATGCCAGGTTCTGCCAACTTCTTTTGTCTTTGCCAATTTGATAGACAAAACAAAAACACGTGCCCTTATATTATTTCAATTTTTGTTGCTCTAAATAATAATAAGGTTGGGTGCCTTTTCATATTTTTACTGGTAATTAGGTCTTTTGTGTGTGTGTGTGTGAATTGTCTGCTCATGTCTTTTCTACATTTTCCTATAGGCATTCCCTCTTTTCTCATTGATTTTTAAGAACTCTTTATATATTAGGGATCCTTAACCATCCCATGGAATATGTTATCCTAGGCCAGCCTGAGTCCTCCTGGTGAATGGATTTTGTTATAAATATTATGTAGTGAGTCTATGGTATCTAAGTTTACTCTACTGGGCAGTGGCCAAAGTGCGGATGAGTCAGCCTTGGGTCATGCAGAGAACTTGAACTAGTTGATTGAACATTCAGAACTAACTTGAGGAACTTGACTCAACTCTTCTGTGTCCAGTTCCAACAAGCTCTTACAGTGCCGGAAAACAAACAAACAAACAAATACCCAAAAACAAACATGCCGGCAGCTGGAGAACTCCCATTGATCGGAAACATACCAACAGATACGTGTAATTCTGGTCACCAAAAAGCATTTCCTGAGGAGGTTAGAAGCATGAGTCTGTGCTTGAATCATTGCTCTAAGAAGGGAAAGGAGCCATATGCAAGTTTTAAGTGTCAAAATTCCGCCAGGTTGTCTATGAGGTTGTGTTTACTGATGTGCTACAGATTTCTGGAGAAAACCATAGGGACACAGTTGAGATGCAAGAGAAGTTTCATGGCATTCACTGTTGACTCTCACCCCAGGGTGTGGCCAGGAATCCTGACGGGTTCCGGCTCCTGGCTGATAACTTCACGGGGCAGGTGTGGAGAGAGAACCATCTGATAAGGGATCCACCATAAACAGCTTTTAAAATGAAGCAAATCCACCGTGCCTATTACAGACCCCTCCCTTTGGAAGCTACATCTTTTGCCTCAGACTTCAGTCCCAGCCCATGTGCCCTAGCAGGAAGGAACACAGTGATGAGCCAGAAGGACAGAGGAGCATGGCTCTGTCCTCTGCTGTGACAGACAATCTTTTATGCTTCAGGCATTGACCCTGTGTCAGGCATTGTCTGTGGCCCTGGGGAGACACAGGTATGAAGGGTAACGAGAATACAATCACAGTGAGGACAAAAGTCAGCGTTCCTTTCCTGGTACTGGCTCTGCAGAAAAGCACGTTACAGACACTCTGAAGGAGGAGGCAGGTGCTATGGGCACCCCAACTTGTAGATGAGTAAAGCAGGCACGGAGAGGTCGAGCCCACACCCATATTCCACGCCAGACCACCTCCCAAGACAACCAGTCCGTGGGCACGTCCTCCCAAGTCTGAGCGCAGTGATGCTGTGGAGAATAGAAATCAGCGGCTGCCAAGATGGGGGACAGACTGTGAGACAATGGGAAGCAGACTCAATCAGAGAAGACTGTGGGTCCCGAAGGATGAGCTGGATTTTGGCAGGAAGAGGAGGAAGGGGGTAGAAAGAGGGTGGACTTCCAGGGTATGGACCAGCCTGTGGGAAAGAGCAGAGCCATCGAGAGGACAAACGACATCCAGGGCCAGTGAGGAGGGTCAGTGAAGCTGACCTCAGGGGAGAGTGTACAGAGGCTGGGGGCCGCTCTGTGAAGAGTTTTGTAGGGCTAGCCTATATGGAGTTTGGCTTCAGTGTCTCAGCGTGGGAAACACTACAGTCAATTGAGCAGAAAAAGGCTTGATTAGATTCATGATTTCGAAAGCCCATGATGACCACAGCCAGGAGGGAAAAGCCAGGGGGTACTCAGTGTTCCGCACATAGCTCACCACCTAGGACCCCATTTGGAAAAGTCTGAGACAGGTGGAGATATTGGTGCAAGGTGACAACCTGACTAGCCCAAGGGGGTACACGTTTGCTGAATGAAGAAGGCTTAGAGCAGAATTGTCACACTATTTACAGATGTGTGGCCCCCATAGGCTCCCGCGAATGGTGATAACAAAGGTTGGCTGTGTAGCCCAGCTTCTGTCAATGAGGAACGCTACCGTGGGTCTCATCTGCCTTATAACTTTGGACGTTTGCCTATGAACATGATTTTTAAGGCTAAAACCTGCTGTCATGATTATCAGAGTACTTGCTAATACATCACCCTGATTGCTGCAAGGGAAGGTTTATCACTGTTAAACTGAGCAGATGTTGTTCTATGTGTCTAGGCAAAAAGCATCTGCCATAAGCTTTGGCTCATGGCTCCCTTTTGCCTCATTCGCCACCTTCATTTTACGTCTGTAGGTTTATGTTAAAATTACAAGGTGCTTAATGTGTGACTCAGAAGAACCAAACTTTACATGGGTTGTGATAGCATGAGTTGGCGGGGGGTGAGTTAGCTAAATGGTACAAGGTAACATCTAGAGCTAATTCTCTTCCCACTTCTAGTAAAATGCCCCCAGGGACACTGAAAACACCAAAATTTATGACACCACAGAAACAGCGAGAGGTGGCCTAACATCAAAACTGGGAAAGAACAGACGGAACTCACCCCAGCAGAGCAGAGAGTAGGATTCTAGGTAAAGCTCTGCCCAAGGAAACTGGGGATCAGATTGGAATCAAGCACTTAACTTGCTTTCCTGTTGGGATCTTGGAAAGGAAACCCAACCAGCGTGACTGATTTGCCAAATTGTTTAAAAACATGGCACTGAACAAATCTTGCTTTGTTCAGGGATTTAAAAAGCAAGCAAACAAACAAGCAAAAAAGAATAAACTCACCGATGTGGGACAAGACAGGAGAAGTAGAGTAGTATCCAGAAGATGAAGCCTTCTGAAAATGATCTACTACAGAATCCAGAGGGGAGAAAAGTCAGGAAACTGATCGGCATTGACAAAGCAGCAGGAGATAATGGCCAACTATCAGATTGAACACTGTAATAAATTTCCACGTTTGTAAGTCCCAAACTGAAGACTATAGGCAATTTCATAGGATTCAACTTAGTATAGATTCTACACACCAAGACGAAGACACAATGAATGATAAGAAGCACATGCACACAATAATAGAACAAGGAGACAAACAGGACTGAATATCTTACCTATAATAATAAATGTAAATGAAATAGATTCTTTTATTAGGAAGACTCTAAAATTGAACAAAGAATTCAAATATCAAATATGTGCCATTTCTTTCCAAAAGGTAAAAAATAATAACTGAATAGGTGAGTATATCCAAAGAAGATGCAAACAAAAATAAAGTAGGAGTCACGATAATAATATTGCCTCAAGTAAAATTCAACAGCAAAGCACAGCAGAACAAAGAAAGCACTTTTATTTTGATAAATAGTACAAATTGCAATAAAGACATACTGACTTGAGCCTTTTGGTGATAGGTAATTATGCCCTAAAAAATATAATACAGGGCGCCTGGGTGGCTCAGTTGGTTAAGCGACTGCCTTCGGCTCAGGTCATGATCCTGAAGTCCCGGGATTGAGTCCCGCATCGGGCTCCCTGCTCAGCAGGGGGTCTGCTTCTCCCTCTGCCCTCTTCCCTCTCGTGCTCTCTGTCTCTCATTCTCTCTCTCTCAAACAAATAAATAAAATCTTAAAAAAAAAATGTAATGCAAAATTGCTGGAAATGTAAAGGCAGAAACCCACCAAGGCCCAACATCTCTTTCCCATATTTGGAACACCCAAAGCTCTGAAAGGCAAAACTTCATCAGCCTGATGCCCATCAGGCAGCCAAACGGGATCTGAATTGATGGGAGGGCATTGTAGCGCTGTCACTTAGTGCTAATATTTGTGCATTTCACTGAAAAAGAGCAATTTTCTGTGTAAGTTTTATGTAAAATACCAAATGTTACCCTTCATAAAACTAAAACATTCTGAATTCTGAATCATTGTCTACTAGTGGATACGGTTTGTGGGCCCGTAGTAAGGAAATCTATGGAATAGGCAAAAAATAGAGCATACAATATGATTATAATTAATAAACATTTTTTAGATATGTGTGAGTGTACAGACCAGCCACAAGCAAATTCCATATCCTACACATAGAGAAGGAACATTTCCCAGCTCTTAGGTCATATTTACGTAAGTCATATGCCATGATTACAAAGCAGTACAACCAGAAATTTATAATCCAAGCACGTGGTCTTAAAAAACACACTTCTAATTTTACTCGCAAAAAGAATTAAAAAATAAAAATGAGGGGGCGCCTGGGTGGCTCAGTCGTTAAGCGTCTGCCTTCGGCTCAGGTCACGATCCCAGGGTCCTGGGATCGAGCCCTGCATCGGGCTCCCTGCTCGGCAGGAGGCCTGCTTCTCCCTCTCCCATTCCCCCTGCTTGTGCTCCCTCTCTCGCTGTGTCTCTCTCTGTCAAATAAATAAATAAAATCTTTAAAAAAAATAAATAAAAATGAGAACACTCTTCTAAATTAGGGCAAAGCAGAAGTAAAAACTGAAATTACAGACATATTGACATTTGTGGGATGAGGTCAAGGTTGCTTTCCGAGACAGATTAAATGCTTTCATTATGAAGGTATACAGAGAGGAAACAACTGAGGATGGGCATGGGGGCTGGCCACAGGGCCTGCGGTCCTTCACACAGTTCTCGCGAAGGCTGTGTAGGACTCATTACTGAGAAGTTGCTTGTGTTCTCTGGGTGCTCGTGAGATGCCGGCTGCTGCCTAAAAAAATGGGAATGACCCAGTGATTGAATGAAGACAAGGTTGACAACCTGAAAAGTCAATCACCCAGAGGAGAAACTGAAAAATTATTAAAGAAATATCCTCCAGGAGTTCCATCAAACCCTCCAGTAACCCCACATCTCTATGCAATTTAGACTACTCTTCCCAGTAAAAATAAAGATGGACAGTCTTCCTATTTGCACAAAGCAAAGCTACAGATATACCTAAGTTATAAATATAGATTTATAAAGATTTCAAATAAAATAATGGCAAATCAATTTCAATCATATTTTTAAAAGCATATAGCATAACCTGTTAGGTTTATTCAGAGAAGGGTGGGGCTCAACATTAGAAAATCTGCTAACATAATTCTCCACATTACTAGGTCAAAAGGAGGAAAAGTCTATGATCATCTGGATAATTAAGTCTGGGACAGGCTAGAATGCTCCATTATTGCTATTACTCATCAATATTGTTCCAAAAGTCCCCACAGAGGTATAGTTTCAGTATGGAGAAGACAACACACATGTATGATGGTCTGTCTACAAATCCTGAAGTAGTCACAAAGAAATGAGTGTAGGAGAATTCAGAAGGTGGCTAGTTAGAAACTAATTCTACAAAAATCAATAGCTTTCTTATAGACCAGTGATGCTCAGGAGGAACCATCATAACAAGTGCAGACCTTACTCACGACAGCAACCCAGTTTTTAAAATCTCTAGTAATAAACAAGGAATGTGCAGAAAGGACACTTATATAAATAAGAAGAGAACTATAAAACTTTACTGAGGGACATAGAAGGTTGGAGTAACAGACCACTTTTCTATTAATGGACAGACTATCTATGACTTTACAGAAGTCAAGTGTCTGCCCGAAGAATCTATGTGTTTAACACAAGCCAAATAAAATCCCAGTAGGATTTTAGGATGAGGCTGACAAAGAGAATCTAAAAGTTATCCAGAAACATAAATGTTCGAGAAAAGTGAAGGAAGCATTAATGAAGGCTATTGCAATGCAGGTGTAGAGATAGCGTGTGGTACGATAATGGGAACAGACGTACAAATTAATGGGATGAAAGAGAAAATTCAGCAACGGACCCCCAATAAGTAGAATATAGTTTGTGTTTCAAATCAATGGGGAGTATATGGGAAAAATATAAACGTAGATCCATACTCATCCCCTACTCAAAAATAAGTTCCAGATGACTAAAAATAATTAAATGAGAAAACAAAGAAACAAAAACCCAAACCATGAAAGCTATACAGGAAAGTGGAGGTGCATATGTTAAGGAATCTTGGGGGGAGACATTTCCTAACTGACGGTACAACGGTCCTTGCATCTGTCTGGCCCTCAGCAGAGAGACGTGTAGCTACTCTTCCTGTCATCTTAGTCTGACGCTTCGCCGTGCCCCAGCCCAGATCCGCGCTCCTGATCTAGTCTGTAGTTATCTTTCATCTCATTGTGGTGGGCAGTTTAAGGGACTAGGTTTGTGTAACATGGAATGGTGATTGCTGCCTCCCCTGCAGACTGGGAGCCTCACAAAGGCGGGGCACCCAAAGGCGGCATGCAGCAGATGCTCGACAAAAACTTAGTTAAATTATTAAGTTAAAAAAAACTAACATGTAAGCTTAATCACAATTGATTACAACTAATCACAATTCATGATACAGACATTCAATTAATAAAGTAGTATATACAACATGATCCCCTCTCCCCCCCTTTTTAGCATGGAGCCTAATGTGGGGCTTGAACTCACCACCCTGAGATCAAGACCTGAGTTGAGATCAAGCATCAGAAGCTCAACGGACTGAGCTACCCAGACACCCCCAACATGATCCCTTTTTAAAACATTAAAAACATGTCTGTGCATGCTCAGAAATAAGCCTGCAATCACAGGCAAGAGTTGATGATGCTGGTGTAGTCTTCGCTCTAGTCTCTAACTGTTCTAGAGTCAACTTACATTGGTCTTGTAAGAAGAAAGTTGTCCTTTTTTTTTTTTTTTTTTTTTTTTTAGTTAGCTAAAAATATAAGCCACTATGCAATGGAGCCACTGGAAAACATATGTCCACGGCAATACGTGCCCTAGACCCACTGTGGCCCCTTCCCGATTTCCGTCTATCCTTACTTGTCACCAAGCATGGCTTAAGCCAGTTGAGGTCTTGTCCTCACACTGCCAATGGCACCTTTCCAGCTCACTGTGAACCATGGCCGTTGGCCAGATGCCACCCGGACTAGCACGGATTCACGACCTGCAGTCAGCAGAGCGTCAACAGCCCGGCTGTCAGGCTGACCCCAGGGACAGGGAGCTAGTCCTGCCACAGTGAGTGCCGGGTCCTATTCCTGGTGGGGAAGGTTCCCCCTCCCATCTCCCCAGCAGGTAACGCGACTGTTAGTCCTCTGCTTTGCAACCCCTGCAACACCAATTACGGCAACCAACTTGGTCCCCCGTGGATGGACGACGGAGCTACTGTTCATGCTCTTCTTCCAGGAAGACCCACGTTGCTTTCCAGAGTCTAAACGAACTTCAGTACAGTGAATTCTACAATCCTGCTTGCAACGACCACCAACTTTTACAACCTGCCATTTTTAGGACTGCTTATCTTAAATTCTCTACTTATACCCCCCAAACGTCGAAAAATAATGAAAACGAAAGACATTTTGTAACAAAGCTTAGTGTTATTTCATCGTAGGTGCCTATCTGAAACACGGCTTTCCAATATGGGTAAGCCGCCTTGATTTAGGTATGCCTAATGCCTGTTTTTAATGGGAAGGAAAACAAATGAAGGGAGTGTCGTGTAATTAAGTGAAGCAGTGAAATATTCCGAGGGGACATTCGACTATATCCCTGTATCTCTTGTCTCCCCCAGATTCACATTCAAGCCACGTGTCTAGGTGTCCTGGGACACAAACCAACAGAAATGTACTTACACTTCTGGAGAGGAGAAGTCTGAAATCAAGGTGTGGGCAGGGCTATGTTCTTCCTGCAGGCTCTGGGTGAGGGTCCTTCCTGCCTCCCCCGGCTTCTGGAGAGCCTGCTGAGTGGCGAGCCCGATGCAGGGCTCGATTCCAGGACCCTGGAATCATGACCTGAGCCAAGGGCAGACGCTCAACTAACTGAGCCACCCAGGCGTCCCACATATATTTAAAATTACATGTGACATAAAATGTCTTGATGCAGAAATACATTGCTCTTTGTTAGTCTCACATCTTATGACTTATTTTGTTGCAACTCGTCCCGTGTTTTCCAGAGCGTGTCCCCCTCCCCTGTCTGGGTGGACAGCTCCCGTGGGCCACTCAAGGGGCCATTCACGCCAACGCAGGATGGACACTTTCTCACTCCTCTTGTGGGGCTAGAGCATGAGGTCAGTCCCAGGGGGAGTTCTGAATACGTGCTAAACGCCCTTGCCTTCTCTGGATGGCGGCCACCACAGGTGTGGAGAGTCCCTGGAGACTGGGGTTGTGTTTGCTCGCGTGCCTCTCCAGATAGGAAAGAAGTAGTCTGACTGCATGTCTTAAAAAGTCCAGAATAATGTCTTATGCAGCACAGAAGTTTCTCTTCCTCCTAAAAGAAGCCTGGAGGTAAGCAGGCCGTGGCTGCTACGGGGCTTCACCAGAAACCCCGTTCCTTCTTTAGTCCATCTGCTCTACCAGCCTAGCACACAGTTTCCAGCCTCAGAGACACCTCGGGGTCCAGACTGGCTGCGGGAGCTCAGCCATCCCATGCGAGTTCCAGGCAACAGAGAGAGGAAGGGCGGAGGGCGGGAAGAGCACACCTCCCAGCTGAGCCAGCTCCCTTTCAGGAGTGTCCCCGGAATCCCGTGCTGCCCTTCTGAGTGATTCTTCCCAAAGCATTAGCAAATGATAGAACCTGGGTCGGCAACTGAGATCTTCACTCCAGTATTTCTTCAGACTCTGCTGCTTGGCTAAGTTAGTAATGACAATGATTGAACCTCACCGAAGAAGATACACGGATGGCAAGTAAACGTGTGAAAAGGTGCTCCACATCACACGTTATCAGGGAATTGCAAACTAAAACAACGAGACACCACTGCATACCTATTAAAATGGCCCAAACCCAAACACGGCCAACACATGAGGATACACCGTCTTGGGAACTCTCACTCACGTGGGCGGGAAGGCAACGAGGGGCAGCCACCTTGGAAGACGGTTTGGCAGTTTCTTACAAAACTAAACATACTTTGACCAGACCACCTAGCAACTGTGCGCTTTGATATTTCCCCAAAGGAGTCGAAAATGTATGTTGACACCAACCTGCACACAGATGTTCATAGCAGCTTTCTTCGTAACTGCCCCAACTTGGGAGCAACCAAGATGTCCCTCAGCAGGTGGATGGATAAACGAGCTGTGGTCCATCCAGACAGTGGGCTAGAGCTCAGCGCTAAAAAGAAAGGAGCTCTCGAGCTACGAAAAGACGTGGGGGAAGCTTAAATGTGTTTTACTAAGTGAGAGAAGCCAATCTGAAGGGCTACGTATTGAGTGATTCCAACCGTGTAGGACATTCTGGAAAAGGCAAAACTACGGAGACAGTAGGAAGATGAGGGACTGCCAGAGGTTAGGGGCAAGGAGGGTTGAACGGGCAGAGCCAGAGGATTTTGGGGGGCGGTGAAAATACTCTGCGGTGCTGGACGCTTGGCATTATACACCCGTCCTATCTCAGAATGTGCGACAGCAAGGTGGACCCGAAGGTAAACTGTGGCCTCTGGGTGAAGATGTCAAGTCGATGTAGGGTCCCGAGTTGTCACGACCATAGCACACTGATGCAGGATGTCAGGAACAGGGGACCTGGGGAGGGGGAGGGGGCGAGAGGCCCACCGTGGGAGAGACTCTGCAAGGACTCGACGGGGTGAGCCGGCCTTACCGTGGGCGGCCGAGGGGCTGCGGAGGCTCCGAGCACAGATCTAAAGGAGGCTGCCAGCCCTGAGGGGGAGGCGGTTGCCAGGCTGGGTGGGCACCCCACTCTGATGGAAAACGAGGTGCGATCATAGAGTCATGGGGGTTTCTAGCGGGGCTGACCAATCCTAAGAGAGGTGCTCAGACTGTTCCGAGCCAAGTCTGGCATTGAGGGGCCTTGAAGGGACCTCTCTGCAGAGACGTTTTAGCGAACTTAACCCAGGGCCGTGTCTTTCCTGCGGCTCTGAGCCTTATTCCCAGTGACCCCTGTCTTCTGAGACTCTGCAACTGTCCCAGCCAGCGGGAGGAGTGGGCCGGGCGCTGCTCTGTGGGCAGAGACTGGATCTGGGCCGCTCTGGGCTCAGCGGCAACACCAGCCAGCCCACCCGGTGGGCAGCCCAGGCCTGGCAGGGGACAGAGTCGGGCCACTGCCACCAGCCCCCGCACTGCCCCAAGGCCCCAGTCCGAGGCCTGCTCAGCCTTGCATCTGAATCTTGCCCTGCATCCTCCTGCCTGGAGCGTGGGGCCACGCACACCGCCCATTCCGGCCTGCAGAGGGGAAGCAAATCCAGGACCCCCCACCCCCCCACCCCTGGGGCTCCGAGCGGGCCTGCAGCCAGCTCATCACCGGCTAGAGGGCATGTATAGCTGGAGGGGGCCCTGGAGCCCTTCTGCCCAGGCCTTCCTTTGCTGACGAGGTCCCTGCCGGGTGACTCGCCCAGGGTGATGCATCCAGAAGAGGTAGCCGGCTCAGCCGTCCTCACGGTTGGTCACTGTCCCCCCAGAGCCTCCCACACTGGCCTGGGGCCACCCGCTGGGGTGAAACTATGCTGCCATGTACAAAGGCAGGTGACCTCTTCCGCCTCCTGGGTGCCTGAAGCCCAGGACTGAGAGCCTAACCCCCCGTGAGTCAGTATCTCCTGCCCGCTAACGCCTAGGGCGCCCTCATAAATTCCTTCCTTCTCCCTCTGGCCTGAGAACCCTCGGGGCGGTGCTGGAGTCCATCCCACATACCGCAGAGAACTTCCAGCAGTGAGGGGGATGAGCATGGAGCAGAAGCCGGCTGGAGAAGGAGAGAGACGGAGAGAGACAGGGAGACACACAGAGACAAAGAGGCAGAGAGACAGAGAGAGCGAAAGAAGCGCGAAGTCTTAGGACTTTGGGAGAGAAAGTGCCGAACCCTGGCCCCCACCAGGCAGTGGGTTTGGAGGTGGTACCTCCACTGTCCATGTAACCAGCCCCCCCAGGGGATACAGACACACGCAAGCTCTGTCCCTGATCTCACCCAGCTTTCCCTCTGGCTGAGGTCACGTAAAGATAACGCAGAGCAATGAACAGACAATGGCCACCCCACCCCGTGGCGATGCCCCCAACAGCCAAGGCCCCAGCGGAGAAGGAAGACCCCGAGCTGGTGGAGGAGGCAATGAGCTCGTGCCCGCCGTCTGGAGCCGAGGTCAGCGGGAGTTTTCCTAGCTCTAGTCTTCGAATTTGCAAGATATGTTGCCTCTAAGTCCATGGGCCTTGTTTCCAGCGCCCATGTTCTCCCCAGGGTGCCCTGAGAACCTCTCACCAATCACACCCCCCAGGGCCATGGGGGGCCCCATGCCACGAACTCAGCCAGCCAGCAGGCCGCACCCGGACAGGTGACACTGCATTCCGAAGCCTTCCTCCAAGTGCAAAGGTCAGCACAGTCAGGACCCAGAACTTGGCAGTCTGGCCCTCCGGACAGAGAGCTGGCTCGTGGCGGAACGAAGACAGAGCATTCAGAGGAGAGCAGACACGATTCGAGCCGTTGTTTGATGTCAGAGCCATCTGGTGGGGCAGCTCCCCGGCCTAAAGCAGAAGAAAACACGGGGTTTGTTACAAAGATCCCTTCAGGTTGGAGACTCCAGGGAATGAATTGAACACCTGGCCCCTTTCTGCCTCCCTCAGAATTAATCAGTCTTTGTACGCAAGAGGGTAGAGCCCATAGGGCCACATAAGGGCCCCGCCTTGGGACAGGAAGACGCGAAGAGTAAGAAAACAGAGTACCAAGCTGAGGTTCCCCTCACATCCTGTGTCACCCATGAAAGCCGCAGGAGTGGTAATGGGCAAGTCCATGAGAATAATTAGGCTGAAGAGCAGACTGCATAATTGACGTACCCACGTCAGCTCCTGGGTTTTTACTGGCCTTGAGCTAAAGCTCAAACCCCAAAGCCTCACCCCGTCCCCACCTCCAGCACATTCTGGGTCTCTAAATAAGCGAGACCTCCTTGCTTCCTTGCTTCTGTTTTCTCTCTTGAATTCCATTGCTCCTCTTCATGACTGGACTGAGTTCTACTTTCCAAGAAGCCCTTGAACTGTTACCTCCTCCGGAAAGCCCTCCCAGATCCACCTCAGGTGTGGTCCAGTCCACCCTCAGTGAGAACGTGGCTAATGCCACCCTGCCTAGGAAGTTATGTTCCCCTCCCAGGGGGCAGCCCACACCAATGGCCGACTGATAGGGGGTCCAAAAGCCTGCCCCAGTCTCAGAGACAGCTCAACAGTGTGGTTTGTGCCAGATGTCCCTGCCCCACGTCCTCCCTCCCCTTTCCTCTCTCACAGGCTTCTTCCTCAATAAACCTCCTTCACCAGAACCCTTGCCTCAAGCTCTGCATCCAGAGAACTGGCCTTGCGTGGACAGGAGAGCCCACTGCCAGCCTCCTATGTGGACGCGCCCTTAGGATATGGAGTCTGCGCCATTACAAAAGAGCAATTTCACAAACTGGAAACAGCGAACATGTCCATCAGCTGGTGACTGGGTTGGACAATGTGCTGCACGTCTGTCCGTAAAAGGGAGGAAGCTGAGAGTCTGTGGGACAATACGAGTGAACCTCGGAAACACCACCGAGTGAGAGAAGCCCCTCCCAAGAGACCACGCACTATTCAATTCCTTCATATAAAACGTCCAGAAAGGTGAACAACAGAGACAGAACGTGGATTGACTGAGGCTTGGGAGGTGGCAGGGGTCTCATTCGAGGGGAACGAGCTGTGAGTGGGCATGAGATGTTCGTGGGATGATGAAAATGGCACAACTTGGTAAATTTACTGAAACATCATCAAATTGTATCCTTGAAATGGGTGAAGTATGTAATATGAAATTTACCCCAGTAATAAAGTTCTTTACAACCTCCCCGATGGATGCAGGACGTCCTGGATGTGAGTCTGTGGACAAGACCACCAACATTCCCATTTTTTTATTTTCCTCAGTGAGAATCAGGTAAAATCTTTAGCGTCAAATAATCTGGTTTGCAAAAGCATTATGAGGTTTTGGGGATTAATCAGGCAAAATAAAAGGTGCTTATTATGTGGTGCTTCTTTGGCTAAGACCCGTGGCCAAAGCTCTGGACACAACCAAGAAGTTGTTCCTATCACCCGTGAGCACAGATCCTTGTGGGAACATGGTTTTTTAAAAAAGATGATCGCAGTGAGAGATCCCAGACTGTATTTCTCTGGAGCAGATTTCCTCAGACCACCTGCATCAAAATCATATGGAAAACTTGGTAGAAATGCAGATTCCCGGCCCCCGGCCCAGACACTGTAGATTAGAACCTCTAGGGTGTCCCCTGGAATCTGCATTTTCACAGGTGCCTGGGGATCCTCGGTTCCAGCGAAGTCTGAGAGCTGATTACAGGGACGGGAACTGTCTAGCTTTGCAAAATCAGCCCGGCTGCAGCTGTCGGGGACGGACTGCGGGGACAGCCCTCAACTCGCCACGTTCCATTGAAAAAGCGAATTCGTCATCCCAGAAACACACTTGTTTGCATGGAAATATTTACCACGCTCCGCACTTGTGTAAAGGATCAGACAGTTCTGCAGCGAGGGACAGGCGCTTCAGAAGACCCCGGCGGACAGCCCGGGGGTGACACCTGTTCTTTGAGGGACAGATCAGAGCAGGGGTTGTCTTCACAGTGGGCCGGGCTCCCACATTGCGGGCTGGGGTCCCCAGGGGGTGGAGAGCCATGGTGCCAGGCGCAAAACCATGAACATAGGGACCAGGGGGCGTTCCTTCTGCAGACCATTGACTATCAGTGCTCGGCTCGTTTAAGGGTGAAGATGACTCGCCACCAGCTATTTGGCCCGTAGACTTGAAAATGAGCACTCCTGTAGGGTCTGTCCAATTTTGTGCACACAAGTCCAGTGACATCAACACTTATCCCTGCAAGCCCCCTGAGGTCCGGTCTTAGAGGAATGGTCACAGGAGCTCCTGTTTCCCGAGGTGCAGTGAGTCCTGTGGGGAAAGGGAAAACACACAGGCCCCCAGGGTCATCCTGGGAATAGTGAGCAGTGGGTGGGTTCTCCTTCCTGGATGAAAGGCTGACAGGTTATTTTGGAGGCGAGGGTGGGGGGAGGGGAGATCGTTCTTTTCCCCTGGTAAGGGGCAGACACCCCAAGGTGAAAGGGTAGCTTTTTAACCAAGAGCCAGAAGGACAATGCCATTATCCCGGGCCACCGAGTCTCCAGTCCCCGGGAACTGTCCTGAGAGTTTGGCAAGATGAGACTGGGGGAGCGGGGACAGCCGGGGCTCTGGGCCATCACTCAGCTGTCCTCCAGAGGTGGACGGGAGCCCTGCCGAGGCTTCCTCTCTGATAGCTGGAGATAGGCGGCACCCCTGCCCTGCAGCACCCCTACCCTGTGGCGGGAGGAAAAGGCCTGGCTCCCTGGTGCCCCCCTTGTTCATGCCCCTCCAGGAGGCAGCCCAGGGCCCACTGCCCAGAAGAAGGCTGACGTTGGTGCTGCGGGATGCAGGAGCAGGCGGTCCCACACAGTGTGCTCCCCGGGGGGTGGCCCTTCCAGCCTGCTTCCTGTGGGGCCAAGAGCGCTAACCGAAGGGGAGGCCAGAGCGCTGTGCCCACGTCAACCCTGGTGCACAGGACGAGGGACACTGGTTCCTGCCAATCCCATAAGCCAAGGGGGAAGAAGGGCCATCAGTGAGGCTCCTCCAAACCGGGCTCTGGCCAGACATGCATCCACATTGCCTGGAGAGCTTGTTACAGGTGTGAGTCTCTGCAAGGCGTGTTAGCTGGCTAGTGCGTCATCCTCTGGCTGCTGGAGCAAACGACTGGACACTGAGGCGCTTATGTGTATTTTCTCCCGGTTCCAGAGGCCAGAACGCCCAGATCGGGTTGTCAGCGGGGCCAGACTCCCTCTGAAGTTTCTGGACGAGGATCCTTCCTGGCCTCTTCCAGCTGCTGGTGGTGGGCTTGTAGCTGCGTCCCTCCGGTCCCTGCCTCTGTCCGCACCTGGTGTGTGTGTGTGTCTGTGCCCAAACCTCCCTCTGCCGATCCGGATGCTGGGCATCGGCTTGTCCAGCACCAGGCATCGTGCTGTAGGTACAGAGACTGTCCAGGCTCACCAGAGGTCCGGGAGGCTGGCAGGCTCAGGATAGCCACCACGGAGGAGGGGTCCTTGAGAGAAGCCCTGGCAGACAGGTGGGCCCGAGGGAAAGGCCTGCCTGAGGGGAGAAGGAGGAGGTACAGGGATCCCAGGAAAGTTCCGGATGGGGAGGTGGTGGGGATTCATTGCTGGTGGAGCGTGAGCCCGACAGGAGCCCATAACACCCTCCACCTGCCTCTCACTGCAGGCTCCACTCCGCACAAGTCTCTGCTTGTTCGTCCGTGTCCCTCGCTAGACTCTGAGTTTTTTGTGGACACCTTACCTCTGCAGTGACCCGCATGGTGCCCGCTACAGCAAACCCCGTCTTTTCTCTCATGCAAGGTAGACTTGGTCCAGGATAGGCTGGCACAGGGTGCATGGTGTCACCGAGGACCCAGGCATGTCCTCCTGCTGTATTGGCTTGTTTACTCATCCAACACGTATTTACTGAGCTCCTACTATGTGCCAGACAGACGGAATTTGCTAAGGCTTGCCAAGCTTGCACACCGCGTGTGCAAGACAGAGAGCTGTCAAGGTGACTCCAGGGTCCATACCTGAGCCATGGGAAGAGCAGAGACACGGCTGTCCTCTGAGTTGGAGCAGACGATGGGAAGAGCGGATCTGGAGGGGGCAGGAAGCTTCTTAAATGTTTCATATGAGAGAGCTCCATACGTGGGACACGCAAGGGGAGACACTGGCCAGGCAGGAGGGAAGGGCGGGCTGGGATGCAGGAGGAAAGTGGGAGCCCTTGGCTTATGGGTGGTCTTCAAAGCAATTACCGAGTCAAGGCGTCCTCAGGGTCAAAGATGGTGACTGTCCCTCCCTAGGGGGGTCCCTACTCCAGGCAAGGAGGGGGAAGAGACCAAGGCTGATGGGCAAGCCAACAGGTTCTGTCCTTTTTCAAAGCTTTCCCGGGAGTCTCAGCTAATGGCTTGCACCGTGTCGCTGTGGTCTGACGTGGCTCCGTGGCCACACCTGGAGGCAAGGGAGTCAGGAAGGTGCGCACTTGTGGTTGATGGAGAAGGGGCCAGGACAAGGTCTTGGAAAGGCAGTCAGCTCCCAGGGTCTGCCTTTGGGGATGAGGACATGGAAGGACGCAGGAAAATCAGCAAGGAGATGCCTGCAGGAAGCCCAGAGTGTGGTGATTCAGGCCTTCCTGGACACTTAAAAGCACAGAAGTACTCTAACTACTCAAACACCACAGGAACTAGGGTCATGAGCCCTCCCAAGCAGGGGATTTCAGCCTGGGCACTGCTGACGTTTGAGCCTGATGATTCTTCGTGGCTGGGCCGTCCTGGGCACGTGGTCTGTGCGGCATCCCCCGGCCTCCACCAACTAGATGCCAAAGCATCCCTCTGACTCTGGCAAAAATGCCTCCAGGTATTTCCAGACAACTCCAGGGGGCAATATTGCCCCTGAAGGATCAGAAGGAATTAACTAAATTGTGTGTAACTGAGAGTCATTTACTGAGAATTTTCACACCTGCTCCTCCCTGTTGGACCCCATCCGTACACGTGAAGAAGTGGGTGCAGCCATACCATCCAGCTCCAGACGTCCTAGAAAGATTTTTCCAAACACACACACACACACACACTTATGTATCCAATGTATTGTGTAGGTGCACACGTATATTAATCCCTTGTGTACAAACAGTCTGGTTTTCTCTTGCCAGAGTCTCGGGTTTGCTCTTAGCGAACGCGCGGACCCCTCCGCCATCAGGCGCCACTGGCCACACGGGGAAGTTTCAGCAGAGGGACGCGAGCCCACTGTCCTAAGCCGAGTGTGTCGGCAATGGGGCTGCTCCCCCCGCTGGGCCTCTCTTTCTGGGGTGTATTTGTGACGCGGTGACCAGTTGGGAACCCACGATGGCCGAGGAGGGGTGGTTATGTGATCTGCCACGAGGACGCACGGCCACTGCTCGGGCAGTGGGCTGCAATCCACGTGCACTGCTGAGCCCTCGAGGAAAAGGTGGAGGAAACCCAGACAGACGGGGACAGGTGGACACTCTTGGCACCTCCAAGGGCAGCGCTGGCCCTGTGGAGCCTGGGACGGGGTGCCACAGCTGGAAGCCGCTGTCCCAGGCCACGGCGCTGGGGCTGGGCCTGGGGCTGCGGCCACCAGGGAGTGAGTGCTACCCCCTGGCGGGCCGCATGTGTGGCCTCAGAGCTTCTTGTTTTTAAAAAACTGACATCAGGTGAAGCGTCCAAATGTCAAATTATGCACATGCCCGAGTTGGATAAAGTTAGAAAACTACATATTTTACAAAAGCAATCAAAACAAAACTGAAAGCTGAGTAGTCTTGATTTGTCTCAAAAAAATCAGAAAATGAAATTTTGAAAAGTGACCGGTTGTCTGGACCCTGAGCACTGTGAGGTGGTTCATGTCGCTATGGTATGGGGGCCAATATTTCTTTTTAAAAATGAGATAATTCTGTATGTATGGCTTTGTAAGCGGCATTCTTTTAAAAAAATTAATAGACATTTTTAGAACATTTCTTAATTCACAAAAAAATTGGGCAAATAGTACGGAGTTCCCATAGACCTCCCTCCCAGCCCCCCAGGACCCTACTGGCTACATCTTGCATCAGTGTGGGGTCCATCTGTTATAAATGATGAGCCGATATTGATACCTTATTATTAACTAAGTCTGCAGTTCCCATCTGGGTTCACGCTTTGTCCTGTACATTCTGTGGTTTTTGACAAATGCATCATGTCTGTACTCACCACCACAGTGTCACCCAGAGTAGTTGAACTGCCCTAAAAATCCCCCGTGCTCCACCTGTTCATCCCTCCCTCCCCACCAGGCCCTGGCAACCGCTCATCATTCTACTGTCTCCATAGTTTTGCCTCTTTGAGAAGGTCCTAGAGTTCGAATCCTACAGCAATACACGGTGAACATCTTTCCATGTCAAAAAATATCCATCTATCAAATCAACTTCAAAGGATTCATAGTCTTTCCTTGAATGGATACCTCCCAGCATATTTAACCAATATATTTAAGAGTTTTCACTTTTTTTTTTTTAATATTTGAAGCAATCCTTTGATGGGTCATCTTGCACATGGGTCTGCTTGATTTCACAAGGGTGAATTCCCAGAAGTGGAAGTTCTAGGCCAGAGGACGACACACAGATCTGGAAGGCTTTGGGGAGGTAGACAGGTTGGCTCATAGAGCAATCGGCCCAACGTACCCTCATGGGCACCAGCCGCCGTGTGGGTCTGTGCTGTATGGGG